GTAGATCAGTTCATCTATTTAGAGGAGCAATCCACACTACTCAGTAAAATTAAGTGCACACATAGACTAAGCTTTAGCAATTTTGAGCCTGAGTTTATATCATAAGGAAATTTCATAGAGGTGCATCAGGGTACATGCACAAGGATGTTTATCACACTCGGCCTACATAAGTAAGTTCTGAAGATTTGTTCTACAATCAGAACACATGGACATAGGGAGGGGAAAAACACACACTGAGGCCTGACGGGGGTGACAGGAGTCGGGGGAGAGAAGGAGAGCATCAGGATAAATAGCTAATGTATGTGGGGCTTAATGCCTTGGTGATGGGTTGATAGGTGCAATAGTTGAAGCAAACCACCATGGCACACGTTTATCTATGCAACAAACTTGCACACCCTGCAGATGTATCCTGGAACTTAAAATAAAATTAAATTAAAAAAAATCTGTTCTACAACAAAATGTCTCTAGTTAAAAATGTGGCATTATTCACTTCATAGTGTGTTAAAAGGGTAGATCTCATGTTAAGTATTCTTATCCTTCTCCCTTGACCAAAAACCAAAAACAAAAACAAAGGGATGCAAGAAAACTTTGGCAAGTGTTGAACAGCTTTTGCCTTGATTGTGGTGACAGTATGGCAGCTGTATGTATATGTCAAAACTCATTCAATTGTATACATAAAATATGTTCAAATATATATCAAATAGTTCTTTATATATTAATTATACTCAAAGCTGTTAAAAATATAAAACAAAAAAAATATGCACACAAAAGAACACATATTTTGCAAGAACATATACAGGCATACCTCGTTTTATTGCACTCTATTGTACTTTTCAGATGTTGCATTTTTTTAACAACTGAAGGTTTATGGTAACCCTGAATTGAGCAAGTCTATTGCCATAACTTTTTCAACAGCATGTGCTCACATTTAGTCTTCATGTCACATTTTGGCAACGCTCACAATATTTCAAACTTTTTCATTCTTATTAAATCTGTTATGGTGTTCTGTGATCAGTGATCTTTGATGTTAACTATTGAAATTATTTTGGGGCACAACAAACCACACCCATATAAGACAGTGAACCTAATCAATCAATGTTGTGTGTGTGTTCTGACTGCTCCACTGACCAACCATTCCCTTATCTCTCTTTCTCTCCTCAGGCCTCCCTATTCCCTAAGACATAATATTGAAACTAGGCCAGTTAATAATCCCACAATGTACTCTAAGGGTTCAAGGAAGAGTCACAAGTCTCTTACTTTAAATCGAAAAGTAGAAATGATTAAGCTTAGTGACGAAGGCATGTTAAAAGCCAAGATAGGTTGAAAGTTAGTCCACTTGTGCCATATGGTTAGCCAAGTTGTGAATGGAATGCAAAAGTTCTTGAAGGAAATTAAAAGTACCACTCCAGTGAGCATGCAAATGATAAGAAAGCAAAACAGCCTTATTGCTGCTATCGATGTGTTAGTGGTCTGGATAGAGGATCAAACCAGTCACAATATTCCTTACACCAAAGCCTAACTGAGAGCAAGGCCCTAACTCTCTTCAATTCTATGAAGGCTGAGAGAGGTGAGATAGCTGCAGAGGAAATGTTAGAAGCTAACAGAGGTTGGTTCATGAGGTTTAAGGCAATAAGCCATCTCCATAACATAAAAATGTAAGGTGAAGTAGCAAGTGCTGATGTAGAAGCTATAGCAAGTTATCGAGAAAATCTAGCTACAATAATTGATGAAGACAAATACACTAAAAAACAGTTGGAAGACGATGCCATTTAGGACTTTCATAGCTAGAGAGAGGTCAATGCCTAGTTTCAAAGCTTGAAAGGACAGGCTGACTCTCTTAGGAGCTAATGCAGCTGGTGACTTTAAGTTGAAGTCAATCCTCATTTACCATTCCAAAAATCCTACGGCCCTTAAGAATTATGCTAATTGGAGGAGGATCCAAGATAGCCAAATAGGAACAGCTCTGGAGTGCAGTTCCCAGCAAAAACAATGCAGAGGGTGAGTGCTCACTGCATTTCCAAACAAGTTTTCACTGCCAATAGACGTGGAGATTCCGTCTCCAAAAAGTACCACGTTTTCAGCACAGCTGGTGCCACGGGTTGGTGCACAGAAACTCACACAAATTTGGGCAGCTGTTTCAACCGGCACCTGGAATGCCTGGGAGACAGAGCTGTCCATTCAACTGAAAGGGAAGGGGCTGAGACAGGGAGCCAGGCAATCTGGTTTGGTGGGTACTGCTCCCACAAAACAAGCAATCAGAAAGGCTCTGGATTGAGAGTTTCACAGCAAGCGCAGCTGGACACCAGACAGTCCAGCTCAGTGGGGGGAAAGGCATCCGCCACTACCGAGGCAGTTCACAGAGCAGCTGGGTAGAGCCTGCGGCAACTCAGCAACACCTCTGCAGGCAGACTGTGACTAGATTACTCCATGTGGAGCAGGGCATCTATGGAAAAAGGCAGCAGCATGTCAGGAACTTAGAAATAAAGCTGACCTTCCTAGGTCAGAGCACCTGGGAAAAGAGGTGGTTATCAGTTCCACTGCAGCAGACTTAAAAGTACATTCCCAGCAGCTCTGCACAGAACAACAGAGCTCCTAGCACACTTGAGCTCCTGCAAGGGACAGACTATCTCCTAAAGCAGTTCTCCAACGACCGAATACCCGGAGACACCTCATAAAGGAGAGCCTAGGCCAACATCTGGCAGGTACCCTTCTGGGACGAAGATAACAGAAAAAGAAACTGGCAGCAACCCTTACTGTTCTGCAGCCCCTGCAGGTGATCCCCAGGCAAGCAAGGTCTAAAGTGGACCTCCAGCAGTCCAGCAGCAGAGGGGCCTGATTGTTAGAAGGAAAACTAAAAGACAAAAAGAAATAGCTTCAACATCAATAAAAATGACATCCACTCAGAGACCCCATCCAATAGTCAAAGACCACAGGTAGATAAAGCCACTAAGATGGGAAAAAAACAGCTCAAAAAGGATGAAAACACCAAAAACCAGAACACCTCTCCTCTTCCAAGGAATCACAACTCCTCATTAGCTAGGGGTCAAAGATGGATGGAGAATGAATCTGATGAATTGACAGAAACAGGCTTCAGAAGGTGGGTAATAACAAATTTCTCAGAGCTAAAAGAATACGTGCTAACCCAATGCAAAGAAACTAAGAACCTAGAGAAAAGGTTAGATAAGACATTAACTAGAATAAACAGCTTAGAAAAGAATATAAAAGACTTGATGAAGCTGAAAAACACAGCACAAGAACTTCATGAAGCATACATAAGTTTCAATAGCGAAATTGACTGAAGATCAACTCAATGAAATAAAACGAGAAAGCAAGGATAGAGAAAAAAGAGTGAAAAGAAATGAACAAAGCCTCCAAGAAATATGGGATTATGTGAAAAGACCTAATCTACATTTGATAGGTGTACCTGAATGTGATGGAGGGAATGAATTCAAGCTGAAAAACACTCTTCAGGATATTATCCAGGAGAACTTCCCTAACATAGCAAGCCAGGCCACCATTCAAGTCCAGGAAATACAAAGAACACCACAAAGATATTCCTCAAGAAGAGCAATGCCAAGGCACTTAATCGTCAGATTCACCAGGGTTAAAATGAAGGAAAAAATGCTAAGGGCAGCCAGAGAGAAAGATCGGGAAGCCCATCAGACTCACAGTGGATCTCTCAGCAGAAACCCTACAAGCCAGAAGAGAGTGGGAGCCAATATTCAACATCCTTAAAGAAAAGGACTTTCAAACTAGAATTTCATATCAAGCCAAACTAAGCTTCATAAGTGAAGGAGAAATAAAATCCTTTATGGACAAGTAATTGCTGAGAGATTTCGTTACCACCAGACCCGCCTTATGAAAGCTTCTGAAAGAAGCACTAAACAAGGAAAGGAACAACCAGCACCAGACACTCCAAAAACATATCAAATGGTAAAGACCATTGACATAATGAAGAAAATGCATCAACTAATGGGCAAAACTTCCAGCTAGCATCAAAATGGCAGGATCAAATTCACGTAAAACACTATTAGCCTTAAATGTAAATGGGCTAAATGCCCCAATCAAAAGACACAGACTGGCAAATTGGATAAAAAGTCAAGACCCATTGGTGTGCTGTATTCAGGAAACCCAACTCACATGCAAGGACATACATAGGCTAAAAATAAAGGGATGGAGGAAGATTTATCAAGCAAATGGAGAGCAAACAAAAAAGCACGAGTTGCAATCCTAGCCTCTGAAAAAATGAACTTTAAATCAACAAAGATCAAAAGAGACAAAGAAGGGCATTACATAATGATAAAAGGATCAATGCATCAAGAAGAGCCAAGGATCCCAAATATATACGCACCCAGTACAGGAGCACCCAGATACATAAAGCAAGTTCTTACCAACCTACAAAGAGACTTAGACTCCCACACAATAATAGTGGGAGACTGTAACACTCCACTATCAATATTAGATCAACAAGACAAAAAATTAACAAGGATATCCAGGACTTGAACTCAGAACTGGACCGAGCGGACCTAATAGATATCTACAGAAATCTCCATCCCAAATCCACAGAATATACATTCTTCTCAGCACCACATGGCACCTACTCTAAAATTGACCACACGATTGGAAATAAATCACTCCTCAGCAAATGAAAAAGAATGGAAATCATAACAGTCTCTCACACCACAGGGTAATCAAATTAGAACACAGAATTCAGAAACTAACTCAGAACCACACAGCTTCATGGAAACTGAACAACTGGCACCAGAATGTTGACTGGATAAACAATGAAATAAAGGCAGAAATAAAGATGTGCTTTGAAACCAATGAGAACGAAGACACAACGTACCAGAATCTCTGGGATATTTAAAACAGTGTCTAGAGGGAAATTTACAACAATAAATGCCCACATGAGAAGCGAGGAAAGATCTAAAATCGACACCCTATCATCAAAATTGAAAGAGCTAGAGGAGCAAGATCAAAAAAACTCAAAATTGAGCAGACGTTGGTGGCCAGGCTGCCAAGAGCAGTTCCACCGGGTTTCACCGTCTGAGACTTCCTTCGGGGCACCCCAGGCAGCAAACCATGATGGAGTATGAGTGGAAACCTGACGAGCAAGGACTTCAGCAAATCCTGCAGCTGTTGAAGGAGCCCCAGTCCCCAGACACCACCATCCAGAGAACCGTGCAACAATTCTAGAAACTGGAACAACTTAATCAATATCCAGACTTTAACAACTACTTGATTTTTGTTCTTACAAAATTAAAATCTGAAGATGAACCCACAAGGTCATTGAGTGGTCGCATCTTGAAGAATAATGTGAAAGCACACTTTCAGAACTTCCCAAATGGTGTAACAGACTTTATTAAAAGTGAATGTTTAAATAATATTGGTGGCTCCTCTCCTTTGATTAGAGCCACTGTTGGTATTTTGATCACAACTATAGCCTCCAAGGGAGAATTGCAGAATTGGCATGACCTCTTACCAAAACTCTGTAGCCTGTTGGATTCTGAAGATTACAACACCTGTGAGGGAGCATTTGGTGCCCTTCAGAAGATTTGTGAAGATTCAGCTGAGATTTTAGATAGTGATGTTTTAGATCGTCCTCTCAACATTATGATTCCCAAATTTTTACAGTTCTTCAAGCACAGTAGTCCAAAAATAAGGTCTCATGCTGTTGCATGTGTCAATCAGTTTATCATCAGTAGGACTCAAGCTCTGATGTTGCACATTGATTCTTTTATTGAGAATCTCTTTGCATTGGCTGGTGATGAAGAACCAGAGGTACGGAAAAATGTGTGCCAAGCACTTGTGATGTTGCTCGAAGTTCAAATGGATCACCTACTCCCTCACATGCATAATATAGTTGAGTACATGCTACAGAGGACTCAAGATCAAGATGAAAATATGGCTTTAGAAGCCTGTGAATTTTGGCTAACTTTAGCTGAATAGCCAATACGCAAAGATGTACTCGTAAGACATCTTCCTAAGTTGATTCCTGTGTTAGTGAATGGCATGAAATACTCAGATACAGATATTATCCTACTTAAGGGTGATGTTGAAGAAGACGAAAACGATTCCTGATAGTGAACAGGATATACGGCCACGTTTTCACCGAT